CTACCCCCTTCAAGGTAGCCTCGGGGTTCTCTTTCGTAATAATTTCTAGCCCTGGCGATATATTTACACCGAGAGTCACTTGCTGCCTCTTGGTGTACATGCACCAGGGAGCTAATTTAGTCCTGGACAATATTCGGGACTAAAGTATGCTTACTGGCTGGTCAGTAAGCTGTTGTGGAGACCTCAATAACTCTCCTGATTACTGTCCTTAAAACGAACACGATGCCCTCCAATATTTTATTATTTGACTGATAAGGAAGCAGTGTATTTATGAAATGTATGTAAGAACATGTTATAGTGGTTAATTAGTAGTTAGTGGTTAATTAGTAGTTAGAGGAAATTATTTATAAAGTGTAGCCAGTAAATATGAAAAGCGTTTAGGCCAAAGATTTCGGTGTCAAAAACGCCTTTGAAAGCGCATTTAATTCTTCAGAATTGCTTTCCTTTCCAAGATTGGCTTTTTAATCTGTATTTCAAAATATGTTTATTATTGAGGTGAGTTGTCGGTAGTTTTCGTTCCTCCTCGACTTAACTTCCTGATCAACTTAGAATCTTGGTTGAAAAAGTATATAAGATTTTACTTTTTGGCCGAAAAAGTATGCAAGATTTTCCGTTTAGGGGACCTGGGGGCTTGTACCAGATGCCGGGGTCCGTCCCTAACTTTGCTGATGGAGAGTAAAAACGAAGCGTTTGGGTTGTTAGGAGCGTGGGAGCATTAACAACCCTTGGAGCGTGGAGAACGCTAAGCATTTGCATAGCTCTTCCACAGGCTAAGCTCGTCCAAGCTGCATGCAAGCCATTACAAAGACGCTTTCGTAATTGTTTCAGTTTTATGTAATCACTTTATTTTTTCTCAGATATAAATTTATATCTGAAATAGAAACGACTGTTCGAGGCTGGAGGTCAGACGCTTCGGGCTAACCTCAACCAATTTGTCACAGTAATTGGTGTTACGTATATATACAAAATGGCCAGGTCTGGGTCGACACCAGTCAAGCGACTACCACATGGCTCGGTGCCATAGAAACCCCCCTGTAAACCTCTTGTCGGATTCCAATTGACATGAGCTTTTTAATGCTTTTTGAAAATAAAAATTCCTTTTTCAGTCAAATACTTTGCACCGATGTCTGCAAATTTGTCTAATAATTCTACCAATCATTCTTTGGCTTTAATAAGCAAGTTTATGTATACATAACGCCATCAAGACTGTATACATACCTCCCACCGGCTTCTGATTCAGTAGCAATCACGCGTCTTGCGCATATTCACACACGATACATAGTGACATGATACATAGTGAAGTGTAATACATACTAGAGGAAGGGAGGGAGACGAGAGCAGAGAGACAGAGATGGAGATAGAGACAGAAAGGACTTGTTGATATATGCCTGGATGATATATATATATATATATATATATATATATATATATATATATATATATATATATATATATATATATATATATATATTCTAATTTAGTATCATTATATCTCATAATTTTTCCTCGAATTCTTTTTGTTGGAATGATATACCAGTCCCAGATCTGGAACGGCCCGTTCATCGAGTCTACCCCGGGCACCCCCGGGTAGATATTATGTAATCTAGATACATAATCTAGATATTATGTATCAGGGTAAATGGTATATAAGCTGTCCATTGCACCGTTAAAATTATATGTATATATATATATATATATATATATATATATATATATATATATATATATATATATATATATATATTTTACCTTGCTTGAGAGGAGAAAAGTGAACCGTGCAGCTTGCAACCCACAACAGTCCTCACGACCCAGCCCCTGGTCGACTATCTAGCTATAAAAGACACAGCTTAAGCCAGGACGTCAACAGCTAAGCTAAATCTGAGTTGCATTGACACCAGGGGACGCAGTCCCTAGGATTATAATGGGGGAGTGAATGTCAGGGTTGTAGCTGGCAGGGGGTGGTGGTGGTGGGGTCCTGTGTGGTTGTAGCTGGCAGGGGGTGGTGGTGGTGGGGTCCTGTGTGGTTGTAGCTGGCAGGGGGTGGTGGTGGTGGGGTCCTGTGTGGTTGTAGCTGGCAGGGGGTGGTGGTGGTGGGGTCCTGTGTGGTTGTAGCTGGCAGGGGGTGGTGGTGGTGGGGTCCTGTGTGGTTGTAGCTGGCAGGGGGTGGTGGTGGTGGGGTCCTGTGTGGTTGTAGCTGGCAGGGGGTGGTGGTGGTGGGGTCCTGTGTAACGCGTCAGAGTCCTGTGGAGACGAGCAGAGTCGGGGAGGTGTGAGAGAATTAAGCCGGAATAGAGAATATACAATAGAGAATTTTATAATATAAAAAAATATAATTTTATATATAATACTCTGCCATTGATGTTAAATCCTGTCACACTCACCTCACTGGGAGAGATCAAAATTCTATGTAGATGCCACGGCTTTTCCTCGTGTTGTCTGTACTTACAGAGGAATCACCCCAACGTTATTAGTAGTAAACACCAAATTCCATTATGTCTCTTATTGTTGGGGTCTAAAAAATTAACGGAGCAGTATGCAGGCGATGGGTCACAATAACGTGCCTGAAGTATGTTGACCAATCCACGCACTAGAAAATGAAGGGACGATGACGTTTAGGTCCGTCGTGGACCATTCTCAAGTCGAATGTGTGTTTCTGCCACGTTATTGTGACTCCTCGTCTGCAACTACTGTATTGTTCAAAGGTGAGGTGCTTGGAGCGCTCTTCTAACAACATTGGCATCAAGCGGATGAGGGTGCCACGGCACTAAGGTATATGAACTGCCTGAAATAGCATGCCTCAAGGCTCCCTTCCCCCGCATGCCATGTGTGACTGGAGTAGGAGAAGGTATTCTTACATACAAGCCAATCTTCCACTCGCATACACAATTATTAAATTAACGCTGTTACTACGCTGGGGAGCCGGTCGGCCGAGCGGACAGCACGCTGGACTTGTGAGCCTGTGGTCCTGAGTTCGATCCCAGGCGCCGGCGAGAAACAATGAGCAGAGTTTCTTTCACCCTATGCCCCTGTTACCTAGCAGTAAAATAGGTACCTGGGTGTTAGTCAGCTGTCACGGGCTGCTTCCTGGGGGTGGAGGCCTGGTCGAGGACCGGGCCGCGGGGACACTAAAAAGCCTCGAAATCATCTCAAGGTAATCTCAAGGTAACCGTATAAATAAATACGTAAAAATATTAACGTCGTGTGTAGTGGGATCCCATTCAACACAATATCCAAGAGTAACGTAAATTCAACGTTCAAGTAAGAGTTGACGTAGACTCAGCGTCACTCTCTGGATATTGCGCCGTCTGAGAGTGGGGCCCCGCGTCTAAAACTCAACCTCCAAGTTACTGCGCAGGGGTGAAGGTTCACCATGACTCGCGGAGGGCGACTATACAGGCAAGTCGCTTTGGTCGTCAACCCGGAAGACTCGCTGGAAGCCCCCGAACGCTGGGTTAAGCTTGTGAGCCTAATTGCTTGTTTTGCAAGCAATTACTGACAAGATGAATGGAAATCTTGCACAGATTGGTCCCGCCTTGTGACAGAGATAACGATGAAGGTGATGAGTGAGGTGAGGATAGTGAATAAAGAATATAATTGGTGAAGAAAGATGAAGACAAATAATGATTTGGTATATTTTGTTTATAAAATATATATATATATATTTTTGGAGGAGAAATTGAAAAAGAGATTTTGGGTTGAAAAGAATGATTAGGATAAAAATAACTTTGGTAATTTTAGTTATAATGCGATGGATGAAAGAGCGTCTATTTACATATTTTATGTAAATAAAGACTTGGTGGAGGGCAAGGGACTTGGCGGAGGTCAAGGGACTTTCTAACAAGCTTAGAATAGTCTGTATAGGGTAAATTTATTTCAACAATATGCACTTCCTTCTTTATGATCTAATGTAAACACAATAGTCGCCTATCATTACAAACACTTCCCCCCCTGTAGTCACTCATAGGTAAGTACTCATAGGTAAGTACTTATATGTAAGTACTATAAACTCACTGGCTGCTTGTCCTCCCTTGCGAGTGTGACATCATTGCATGCAACTAAAATAAATTATTACAATTGTACAACTAAAATAAATTATTACAAAAGTACTGTACTCCCGCTTCATACAGTCTAGGGAAGCTGCACAAATGTAGATGTACCTAATGTATTAATAAAAAATATATATATTATATATTTAAATAGTTATGATAAGTTTTCTAAATCAAATGGAAGTGCTAAATGGAAGTACCGAGTGCTGTGAGTACCTTAGGAGTCTTAACCTGAATCTCTTGATGTGTTCGAACGGGTGCAAGGAATCCGAACAGAACATAAGTCTTGATCTGAAACTTTCGATGTGGTCGAGCAGAAATAAGGCAACCCGTCCTCTTTATATTTATTTATTCCTACGTCTAATTGTGAACGTTATGGTCCTCAAACGTACAAATTACGAAGTACTATGACGTCGATAGGTTAGGGGGGTTGCTAGGGTTCGAACGTTCCTGGTTAGGTTAGGGCTTTGTATTTTGTACGTCGTGACCAAGGGAACGGGCTAAATAATGAATTAGTGGAAAATGTTACCATGAAAATGGGGAATTTGGTCTAAAAACATTTATACTGAGATTCCAATGTGGTTTTATTTATTGATATAAGTAGATCTTGGCATCATTGTATATGTGACATATATCCACAAGATAAACTGCTTTCATCCCAATGTTACAAGTACTTGCAAATCTCTATAGTATTAACATGAATTGTAATCTTGCCAGTACAGAGGGTCTTCCTGGAAGGATTGTTAATAAAAGTACACATAATCTGCTCCATTATCGCCAGTACATGGAAATCCCTCTGGATCATAAACACTAATAATGTTTTCTATATTCCAGAATGGCAACAATATATAACCCTTCCGTTATCACTAGTACATGATATATCTCCTATATATATATATATATATATATATATATATATATATATATATATATATATATATATATATATATATATATATATAAAACACACACGGCACATGTGTTATCCCCATACACCATCTATAACAAACTCGTATAACAAACACTTAATCTCCCTTCCATCATTTTCTTTATACAGGAAGTGGTTTCATCATTCCCTAAGCCAGTGTTGTGAGAGAGCGAAGGGTCGAGTCACCAGTCTCCGCAGGGGGCTCATCCCCCTTGAGCCCCCCTTTGAGCACCATTGAGCACCCTTGAGCGTCTTCGGTGAGTACCTGACCTTTCGCTCCCTCGAGCCATAGTGACCTTGACGTCTTGTTATTCTTTCACCTACGACATCATGGACGGGTCGACAGTATACACTGACTCGTGAGACCATGTACCAAAAGCCCTCAGTGTGGAACACGGGCGAGTATAATAGCACTTCAACTCAATCGCGAGCAATACAGTGTCTAAACTCGCACTGTCTCACACACAGTAGCTGTCCACACAGTAGCATAGTCGGGGCCATGCACATGATTAATCGTTTCTTGAAATAAGTCATCAACGTGTCCTTGCTCCCAGCTGGGAGTATCTAAAGTGGGGTCCCCTAGGGACGTACTTTTTACGCTGGGCCCTGAGAGCGTATCCGCGACAGCTTCCCATGGGAATGTATCTTTAACCGAGTCTCCCCTGAGAGCCTGTCTCCTGAGACCGTGCTCTATTACTCCGATATTTTCAATAGATTTACATCCACTACCATCTTTCCCCGCCCTGTACAATGGGAAAATGAATCTTTCTCAAAACTGCACGACAGGAGTTAATCTACAGCACAAGAGAACAGAGATTATATGTCCTACAACTAATAGTTTCTGATTGTCTATCTCCCGACGGGGAAAGGGGAGGAGGAGGAGAAGGGGAACAACAAGACATTTGAGACCAAACGAGACGCATGAAATATCGTGATAGAAATGATGATAAACATTGCGGTATGGCGTGCAGGAGCGGGTAGAGGCGCGAAGTCCCACGCCCGCGGTTGAGAGGAACCATCAGTCCGAACTGTGGTAGTGGCTGGCGGTGTGCCTCTGGGATATAGAGGCTCGGTGACCCGCCGTGTCTCCGTCCGTGGTCGTGAACACCGTCAGGCGGAAATTTTTATTGCTGTCGGAGCTCCTGAAGGTCTGAGAGCGCCTGGGGCCCGTCCGGAGGGTGAAGCGGCAGGTGCATAAGCTGTGAAGGAGCTGGGTCATGTTCTCATTGAAGGCCAGGAAGATCCAGGGGTTCACGACGCTGTTCAACGAGGACAACAGCGTCAGGATAGTGAAGGCTGCGCCTGCGGGAGAATACAAGAAATGCCTTAAGATCTCGCTAAGACGGAGCCACAGGTATTATTGTGATATTTTTAATCTTGCCTTCAAGTGATGGACTCAAGTGCTAGTATATAATATTGTATTAGAAATCTAGTACATTGTCCTTGAAGTTAGTTACGTTAATCTGTAAAGGGAGCCGATCGGACAGCACGCTGGACTTGTGATCCTGTGGTCCCGGGTTCGATCCCAGGCGCCGGCGAGAAACAATGGGCAGAGTTTCTTTCACCCTATGCCCCTGTTTCCTAGCAGTGAAATAGGTACCTGGGTGTTAGTCAGCTGTCACGGGCTGCTTCCTGGGGGTCGAGGCCTGGTCGGGACACTAAAAAGCCCCGAAATCATCACAAGATAACCTCAAGATAACCCCTCATTGTGGGGGAGGGTGTGGCTGTGGAGAGTGTATAGCTTATGGTGTGGAGTACTGATTTACCAGTTCGATAACACCAGTGTATTGGGTTAACTATGTCCTGCATGTTATGGAAAATATCAGAGTCCTCGAGTTTCAACAACGTAAAACTTTTACACATATGTGGAATTAGGTGTTCTACTGTTTTTTTTAATCCCACGTTCGATACCATCATTGTCTAACAGTCACCACTCTAGGACCACTACACAACCATCGTCACCACACGAAACAGATACAAACCACACACCACCACACACCACCACACCACCCCACACCACCACACACCATCACACACCAAACACACCACCACCACACAACACTTCACCGTCCTAACACTCTACCCTGACCCCCCCATCGCCCTGACACCCCCCCCCCCTCCTGTCAACCCCTTACACCCCTCCTGCAAAATACCGTAACTCCCTTCAGCGATATATTACCCATAATCGTTTTACAAAACTGCCAAATTATGTAAATCCGCTTCCTATTTTCCTGGCCAGATTTCCTGCTTCGAGCCTAGCAGGCAGCGGCTGGCTAGTTTATCATGTATTTGATCCCAAGACAAATTTCTGGGAACTTTCAGCACGAGAAAGTTCTCAACAGGAGAAAGTTCTGTCGTCAAGAGGGAGTTTTATCTAAAGCGTTTTTGTAGGTGGGGGAAATTTGCCTGAAAATATTAAAATCTAAGAAAGTTTAGGAATAAAAAGTTGAGAAAGTTAATTGAAGGCCAAGTGAAAGCTGTATTGAAAAGATGCGATTGTAAGTTAAGAAAAGAGAAAGTCAAAACTGAGTGACATCAGAGAAAACATGAAAAATATTCTGGGGAATTTAAAGGGAGAGAACTCTAACTTGATAATAAACTGTAACTTAAGCTCAAGTTGACAAAAAATGATTTCTTTGCTCTGACTAAACCAGTTTTTATATGTAAGTGGAAAAACCACATTGAAAAAATATAAGAATGTTCGACGCGTTTTCGACAGTTAGATCGAAAACGCGTTTAGCATTCTTTTAATTTTATACACGAAAAAATTATAGACAAAATGTTCAGGGGAATTGACAGTGATTGACAGTGAACGAAGAGGATACTTGTAAAGTGAATACCACCTGAACAGGAGGACATTGGGGAAAGCTTGACAATCAGATTATTCATAATTTTAAAAAGTTTTCTTTAAATATATTAGTGGGTAAATGGAATGGCCTAAATGATCAGGCTGTAGAAGCAAACTCCATTTATAATTTCAATAGTCGATACGATAGAGAAACAGGACAGGCGTCCTTGACGTAGACAACCAGTGACTTGAAAGTAGGGCCCAAGAGCTAAAACTCGGTGGTGCAGGCAGGAATGTCATCGCACAGCTCACCATTATAGAAGGGGTTGGTGGAAGCATTGGGGTCCCAGACGTGCCACAGCTGCACGGAGATAAAGGGTGCAGAACAGCTAATGTAGCAGAAGATAACAGTGATGGTTAACTTCACCGTCTTGATCTTGGCTCGACTGATGCTCCTGATGGAGTGAGAGCGAGGATTGGTGATCCCGCGAGACGCTCTCAGGCTCTGAGCGCTCACCCCGTTCACCATGGCGGGCTTGTGGACCGCTACCATGGGTATTGCCAGGTGTGACGGCGCTCTCAGGAGGGGCACGATGTTCTCCTGCGGCGGCGGATCGTGGATGCAAGTGGATATCTCGCTCTCTGATCGATGTCTGTGGGGTCGTAGGCGCACCAGAAGCCGCGGCCTCCGTGAGTCCCGCCAGTGGTGTGTGTGCTCGTCCATCTGTTTATGCTTGAAATTGACCCACAGCGTCCGGCATATACACGAATATGCAAACACGAGGAAAAATAGAGGCACTATGAAGACCGAGAGAGCGTACCAGGTGACGTACGCTCTGGGACCCCAAGGCGGGATGAACGAGGCCCAACAGTCCCAAGACCCGTTGCCAACTTCCTGGTAACTGAATACAAAGACCTGCGGGGTGCAGGACCCTAAAGCCAGCGCCCAGGCCAAAAAAATCATGTTTTTGGATCTGCGGGGCGTCCAGGCACAGTTGGAGAGCGGGTAGCAGATCACCTGGTAGCGGTCCAGGGCCGTCATCACCAGCAGGTAGGAGTTTAGGTAAGGCCCCAGAAGCTGGCCGAACTTGACTGCCTTGCAGAGGAAACCACCTCCGTGGAACCTGTAGGTCACCTCCCACACCAGCTGCGGCAGGACGTTGAAGAAGGCAGTGATGAGGTCAGACACGCAGAGGCTCAGTATGAAGTAACACATTCGCGTCAGTTTCTTATGGCGGACCAGAAGCATGAAGAGCACCACCACGTTTCCCAAAACCGTCAGTACGAAAATGGCCAGAAGTGTAATGATCTCCCAGACCACTAGAGTTTCGTCCCGTATGCTGGCCTGAGTTGAATCCCCCGCGGCAGAGGCATTGGAAGTCAGCACCAAGACCTGAACACTCTCCGTGACATGACCCAAGTCGTCTCTGGCTAGGTCATAGCTGCTGTTTGTCACCAGAACCCCAGCATCTCTCTCTGCGGCAACCTTCCAGTGTCTCTTAGTCGTCAGCAGCCATTCCTCTGATGTGGTATAATTGTTGTCGATATACTTGATAGGGAGAGACCATGATGTGGAGATCTGGTCAGTGTTGGTACTGGGCCAGGCCATGTTGACTTGCTTCCAACTTGGATTCCCTAATGCAAGTTAATCATCAGTTGCTCCAGTCTGTAGGCAATTATTCTGTGGATCCAGCACACATGACGGATCTGGAAAGAAATGAAGGATTTGTTAACAAAAACATTCTTTGGCAATGGAAATATTTGTGTGTAATGTCGAGAATCTGTCTTTGATGGCTAATGCCCAACACACACTCTCTCTCTCTCTCTCTCTCTCTCTCTCTCTCTCTCTCTCTCTCTCTCTCTCTCTCTCTCTCTCTCTCTCTCTCTCTCTCTCTCTCTCTCTCTCTCTCTCTCTCTCTCTCTCTCTCTCTCTCTCATAATATATATTGCACTGGAGGATAAATAATTAATTATTGTTTCGGGGGACAGGCAGCCAATGTACATAAATGTTACATTTATACTGAGTTCCCCCCCCCCATCAAGGTTGAACTACTGACCCCCACCCACAAGATGCAACCCCACAACATACTCACAAACGTCTGGGTACCTATTTACTGCAAGGTGAACAAGAGGCAGTAGGTAATAGGAAACGCGCCCATCCATTTCGATCCCGCCTGGAATTCCTGGTTGTGAGATGAGAAGGAACCCAATCAGTTCCAACCCAACCCAATCAGTACACTGACTGAACCCAGTCAGTATGTGTACTGACTGCAATTACGAAATTCATCCATTAACAATAAAGTTTTAGATGCCACCATATTTATTAAATGATGTGAAGGTGGAGAAGACACAGGACAATAAATGGTAAGAGTCGTGAACGTAGTCATGTTGTAGCAACCTATTAACAAGGGGAAGCTCTCGTAGACACTAAAAAGTCTCACAGACTTAGAGAATCTGCACAGGAGAGAAAAAAAACATCGGGAAGAAAACCCCAGACAATGAATAAATCAGAGAAATCTTAAGATGATGCCATTGGAACTCAATGTCCCCTGTTTCTTACCATCTCTCTCTTGTCTCCTTTTTCTTATGTGGCTTTTCCCCTGCTTTCTCCAGTTCCTGTCTAATCCTGATTCCTTACATGTGCCGCTATACCTCCTCCTTCAGTTCTTCCTCAAGTCCCCCATATTTCCCACCTTCCTCTTCTCCTCCAGGCAGTCCCATGCCCCGTGAGAAAAGCAGCAGATATCAGCGGGGGAAGACCCGCCAGGGAGGACAAGCGTAGGGTGTTCTGTCACCAGCACTCGGCGACTGACTTGAAAACTCCCTCAGCCACGAGACGCCTCCAGGTCTCTTATTGAGTATTTTACGTGGCGCTGAGAGGATTTATTTCAGGCAACTGTAGCCTCTGCTGGGCTATATGTGACTGTGGCCTCTGTGAGGGTAATATATATATATGACTTCAGCCTCTACATAGTTATTAGTGTAAAATCTGTACCTGTGTGTGTATATATTGGGTCTGTGTTTGTGTCTGCAGCTAGTGTGGGTGGTGGTGGCCTCTGCTTACCAATCGGTGATTATATCTGTCAATATCTACAGGTGCAAGATTGCGCTTTTGGGGTGACCGGTCTCAACCTAACTGTTGGTACTTGGTATTCTTGTATTTCTTGACTTGTACACTGTCGCATGTGATCTGGAAGGTGTGGATGGAGTTAGCCTCCAAAACTTCTTTCCGTGCATTCCATTTCATTCACCATCTAACTACATACAAGTATTTTCTTGTGTCTCTGACTCCTTCGTTTCCAACTTTCACCCATTTTCTCTTATCCCTCAAGTTGAAAAAGACTGCCGTTGCTCTCCTTATATGCTTCCCTCGGTATTGGGTTCATGATGTTCGTAACTACTCTGATCCTTCTCTCTGTTAAGGCTGTTAGGTTGAGCTCTCTGAACCTATCTTTGAACCTTAATTATATCTTATATCAAGCCTCAGACTTGTTGGAAACCTTCAGGTTATCTAGGTTTTCTTGTGCTTCACAAGGTGAAAGTCCCATGCCAATGCTTAAGTGTTCAAGAACTGGTCTGATGTAGGTTAATGTCTTGAAAGACGTTATACACGGCCTCTATTTAAAAGAGGCCGTGTATTTAGGCTCTAAAGGCATACAATACAGCTTCATACAAGCTCTATTTAAGCTTGTATTAAGCCATTCTTTTGTTTGGGTCCCTAATGTTATTTCTTTTGTGTACTTCTGATGCAAATACTGGTATTTCCATTACTGCGAAATCTCTCTCTCTCTCTCTCTCTCTCTCTCTCTCTCTCTCTCTCTCTCTCTCTCTCTCTCTCTCTCTCTCTCTCTCTCTCTCTTCTCCTGATTCCTGTTGCTTTATTTCTCTTATGATGCCTTTACTTTTGGTATTCCTAACCCCCCTAGCAGCTATGTGTCTGCTCACTCCTGCAGCTATGTGTCTATTCACTCCTGCAGCTTGTCCATACCCTCCTGCAGCAGCCTGCAATCCTACTCATTCTTTACTGCTCTCGTCAGCTTTCCTTCATCTGGAAATATTTACATGAAATATCTTGCTTTTCTCCCTTGGTCAATGACATAGATCAGGGACAACAAATTTATAAAACCCAATTCTTATAAGACACCTCTTACTCCATTATTTCATTCCCTCTCTGTGATCCTCTGGCTCATGTCTGGCAGGTACTCCCTTAACCAGACTTGTATTCCTCTTGTCATTCTAGCCGGTTTCTCCAGTCTTTACACTGGCCTCTTGTAGGGAACGGTATAAAAGAATCTTCAGAAGTCTCGGAATATAAAGAATACCTAGCTTTATACTGCTGTGTCTTGGTGACCCTCTCATGGAGCTCTTTGTGACCCTCTCCTGAAGCTCTTTGTGACCCTCTCCTGGAGCTCTTTGTGACCCTGTCATAGAGCTCTGTTGGGTTTGTTAGATATAACTTGGCTTCTTTAACGCCAGGTTTGTTCTCCACTGCGCAGTAAGCACTGTTATTTTCTTCCCGATTGTGTTCTGCAATGTCTAGTGAGAATGTACGTTATCAAAGCTGGTCTGTAGTTTATGGCTTCCTGGATATCTTGTTTATGAAAATGTTGGTATAAAGGCTGTGTTGTTTTTCCCAAGAGAATTGGGAGCTAGTGGCGTGTAAACATTTCCTTGTAGCCTCGTTTGGCAGCCCTTATCGTGTATTCTTTGCTACAGTTGAATCATGTACGTCTTTACTTACTTTTCTTTGACTATGCTGTACCTCGTTGCTTTAACACGTGTTGTATCTGTTTTCCATCTGTCATACGCAGTCTCAACTCTGGTTGTGTTTTATAGACTTGAAAACGCTTACCAAGTTTTCTTTCACAGACTTTCTTGTCTTTTTCTGTAAGGACATTTAATCTCTCCTTAGTTTAATCCCATGATTCTTCCCTCTCGCTCCCTTCGATATGTGACTGCAAAAACTGATTCTCGTCAGATCTGTGTGCGTAGTTTTCTGGTTTCAGATGATCTGGTAGTTTTCTGAATTTATTCGTGTAATTCCCACACATTATTCGTAATTCCATCTGCATTTGTGTTCATATCTACTAGGAGGCCTCGGCCTTACACTGGGGATGGATGTTTTGACTGGTCTGATTCCAATCGTAGTTGCTGCGGTGATTTGTTGGTAAGTCATCCTGCTGACCCATTTCCGAGAAGTGAGGTCTGAGGGTCTTCTTCTCAACCCCAGAAGCATTGCTGGGGTTCGAAAGGATTCGACTGTTTGGGTTTCTGGCCTCTTGTGTTGTTTGCTCATCTTGCTTCCCTTCCTTTCTTGACCATCTATTTCTTCCTTCGATATGGCCTGATTTACGTAAACTTCTATTTTTTGCTATATACGTGTATATCTAAAACCCTATACTTCTGCCAATATGCATTAGTTCACTAGATTGAAAAATTGCTTTCACTGGTCGTGTATATTCTCCTCTACTACTTTCTTATTTTACATTTTTTCAATGCCTCAGTCTGTGTTAAGTGTTAATTGGGCATCATCAATGATCTCATTAACTTCCACCCAGTTTCCTTTGTTTATACTGGACAAATGAGCCTCTACAGATGTATGTTTGTTACTGAAGCTTCTGCAAACATGCGCACATCTGCAGCCTCTGTGGGAAGGGGGGTGGGTATATGCAACTGCACTTCCCTTCTGCGGGGATATATGCAGCTATATAGAGGTGTTAGTGACTATGGTGTCTGTGGCCTAAATGAGGGACTATATAAATACTAGATTTTTAGGGGAAAGATCTGCTACTAAATTACCTTTTTCTGGGGATAAAGCAAGGAAGTTTACTGGACGGGGTTAGGGAGCTGTTAAACTATTCATAGTAGAGTGACTGGAAGATGAGACAGAGAGAATGGGAGATGGAGGAGAGAGAGAAAGAGAGTAGCAAGAAACAACAAGAATAAGGAGGTCAAAGGACGTGAGAGTGGAAGTGAAAAGTCATTCCTGTGACAACCAAGGGAGACGCTGGCCACAGGAAACAAATGACATACCATTACAATAATGGCGTAGGATACGGACCTTAGCCGGGGACAATGGAGAACATCGGTAAGATAGAAGGCGAGGAGGGAAGATAAGAGAATAAACGGCGCATTAACACTTGGAAGAAACTTATGGGTAAGAGATGGTTATGTAGATTAACAAAAAATTTAGTTTTATAGATACATTTTTCCTGTGAAGGAAAGTTTGGTGTTTATCCATTTTTTTCATGTTGCGTTTGGTTATACGAGTTATTTGTCCTTGCTTCATCTGCATAGTTGACTTGTGGCACTGCGCTGGGGCCTATCCGCGACTGGCCATTGACTTTTCCATACCCCCTATGTGTCATCTTGGAAAGTTAGGGTGAGGCTAGCCTCAAACATCTGACCTCTTAACTTGGACAGACTTGCATAAGTTATCTTTCCCTGCTTGCATAAGTTATCCTACCCTGTTTGCATAAGTTATCCTTCCCTGCTTGTCTCAGTTATCCTACCCTGCTTGCATAAGTTATCCTTCCCTGCTTGCATAAGTTATCCTACCCTGTTTGCATAAGTTATCCTTCCCTGCTTGCATAAGTTATCCTTCCCTGCTTGCATAAGTTATCCTTCCCTGCTTGCATAAGTTATCCTTCCCTGCTTGCATAAGTTATCCTACCCTGCTCGCATAAGTTATCCTTCCCTGCTTGGGT